CTGGCTGCGCCCAGGGCCCCCGCCGTGTCCTGCCGCCACTGCACACCCTGCACTGCGCGTCTCCGCCTCCAAGGACCAGCCGCGCAGGAAACCCTAACCTTGTGGGCGGTCTCTGAGCTTTCTTCCTCAGACATCCGCCCACTGAGCAGAGGAGCTGCTTGTTACACACCGGGTTCCGAGCTCCCAATTAGGTGCCCAGGAGCGGAGGAAGGGTCCCCAGGGGTGCCGGGGGAGGGGCCGGCTGGCGACCCCTGGAAGGAGAGCAGAGCAGCAGGACCCGTGCCGACGAGCCAGTCCCTACTAGTCAGCCCTGCGAACCCTGGTCCCTGGTCTCACCAGGAAGGGAACAGAGCCGCCTCCCCTGCCCAGTGCGTTGGCCTCCAGGGTGGCACTCCCAAAAAGGACATTTTTATCTCTGTTCCAGTCTCAGAGGGGCTGGTGGGAGGGGAGGCTGCAGGGAGGGGACCTGGAGCCCACACCCACCTCTCCCGGGGCCCCTCAGCCCTCCAGCAAGCCTCAGGGTCTTCATATGAGGCCCTCCTCCTGCTTCTCTGTCTGGGAGAGGGATGCCCCACCCGACGTCCCCAGGGCCCCTCTGGGGACCATCCCCTAGCATCCTGCTGGCCATGACAAGGGTGCCTCCCACTGCCACCAGAGGCTCCTGCTCCTTCCAGCTGGCCGCCGCCTCGGAACCCTTCCTCCTCTCCCTCCCATTCTTTTTTGTTTTTTGAAATGGAGTCTCGCCCTGTTGCCCAGGCTGGAGTGCAGTGGTGCAGTCTCAGCTCGTGCATCCTTCACGTCTTGGGTTCAAGCAATTCCCCTGCCTCAGACTCCCTAGTAGGTGGGGTTACAGGTGCGTGCCGCCACACCTGGCTAATTTTTGTATTTTTAGTAGAGACGGGGTTTCACCATGTTGGCCAGGCTGGTCTTGAACTCCTTAGCTCAAGTAATCTGCCTACCTCAGCCTCCCAAAGTTCTGGGATTACAGGCGTGAGCCACCGCACCCGGCCTCTCCTCATCCCATTCCTATCTCTCAGGAAGCGGCCCAGGGAGCCACAGCCCCTCCCACCCCAGGCCGAGGCGCTGACCAAACCCCCGGGAGCACCCTGAGTCTTGCAGGCCCTGTCCCCGTGGGCCACCTCCGTGGAAACTCCTGGGGGGTGGGAGGACTCCTTGCCTTCCTCCGCTCCTCAGCTGCCTCCAGCCGCTTTTGCAGCTCCTCCAGGGAGGTGTCCTTCTTCTTGGGTGGAGAGGAGAGCATAGGGCTCTCTGGGGACAGGTCAGAAGGGGACTTGAGGATGACCTCGAAGCTCTGGCCAGAGGCCCGCTTGTCCAGCTGCTTCACCTCCATGTCTGCAAGACCAGAGTAGAGCTTCAGAGGCCCGGCCAGAGCATGGCGTGGGCTGAGCGGGATGCTCCCGGCACACATCCAACCCCAGGGCTGGGTGAGAGCAGGTGGCTGCTCCCGCAGGAATCCCAGGCCTCAGCCCCCAGGATGGGCCCCTTCCCCCCAGAACCTCCCTCTCCGGAGGCAGCCAGGCTGGGAGTTCAGAGACTGTGGGAGGCCAGGGAAAAGGTGAGGTGGGTAGGCACTGCAGGGTAGGGCTAACTTTTTGTACTTTTAGTAGAGACGGGGTTTCACCCTGTTAGCCAGGATGGCAGCCGGGCACTCACCCCCATACTGGTAGATGGTGTTGGGGTGCGGCTGTGTGTAGAAGCAGGAGCAGATGAGTGACAGCACCGACAGCTCCTTCATCTTCTCCTTGTAAGCTGTGGGCACAAGGCTAGGCTGAGCAAGCGCCACTGGGGCCCGCCCACCTGGGGCCCCGTTTTTCCCTCCCCATGGCTGCCCCTGGCATGTCTCTGTGAGACACGGAGCTGCCCAGCACGCTCTCCTGTGTCTCCACACCGCCGGCCCCTTCGTCTCTCCTCCAGCTCTCTTGCTTCCAGACGCTGGTGCTGTCTCCGTGGTGTGCCCCCTGCTCTGTCTCTCTCGCCTTCCGCCTCTCTCCGCTTTTCCTCTGTCTCGGCATTAATGTCTGTCCCATCTTGCACACTGACTTGTTTCTCCATCCTCTTCCCTGCCTGCTGTGGTCTGAATGTTTCCATTCCCCAAAACTCATGTGTTGAAATAGTAACCCCAAGGTGCCGGTATGTGGAGGTGGGGCACTGGGAGGGAATTAGGCCATGAGGATAGAGCCGTCCTGAGTGGTCCCAGAGGGGGGCTTCAGAGAACTCCCTCACCCTTCCATCATGTGAGGACACAGCCAGAAGATGCCACCTGTCTATGTACCAGGAGGCGAGACCTCTCCAGGCACCAAAGCTGCCGGCACCTTGATCCTGTACTTTCTGGCCTCCAGAACTGTGGGAAGTAAGTTCCTGTCGTCTATAAACCACTCAGTCTCAGGTACCCGCACAGACTGACAAAGTCCCCGCCACTGCCTGTCTGGGTCTCTGTTTACCTCTGTCTGACTCTGTCACTGTCATCGTATCTTTCCGTGTCTCGGGGGTAGCCCCTGACTCTGTCTCTTTCTCTGAGTGCATCTTTCTGTAATTCCTTGTCACTGTGTGTCTTTCTGACCCTTACCTCCCTCTGCGCCACTACTTCCCTCTCCCCTCCTCCTCCCTCCCGCTCCCTCACCAGCTCAAGCAGGCAAGAGTAACTCATGACGGGACCAGCACAGAGGCAAACCCTCTGCGGGCAGCACTTTCCTGGGCTGTAAACCTGGATGAAGCCCTCAGACCCTCCTTTCTCCTTCCTGATGATCATGTGGTCACCCCGAGATGAAGCCAGGCCCTCTCCAGGCACATGCTCTCTGCCCATTTAGGGCTGGGCTTGGGCCACTGATGCCACCAAGAACCAAGGGAGGGCAGCTGTCCAGTCAGCCCCACAGCCAGGCCTCTTGCCCATTCAGGTCAAATAAGTGCCCACCAGCCAGTGTCCCTGCTGCCCAACCCAAACCAGAAGTAAGCCGGGCTGCTGTAGCCGTGTACCCTGTCAGGGGAAGGGGAAGGTGTCTGCTCTCGCAGTGAACATAATTTAGCTCTTTTGGTCTATTCAGGGCGAGCCTCGCTCCTAAACAGACACTCTGGCCCGGTTTCTCACTAGTGCTCAACAATCATCTTGGCTGGGCGCAGTGGCTCACAACTGTAATCCCAGCACTTCGGAAGGCCGAGGCAGGTGGAACACCTGAGGTCAGGAGTTTGAGACTAGCCTGACCAACATGGTGAAACCCGATCTCTACTAAAAATACAAAAATTAGCCAGGCGTGGTGGCAGGCACCTGTAATCCTAGCTACCTGAGAGGCTGAGGCAGGAGAATCGCTTGAACCTGGGAGGCGGAGGTTGCAGTAAACCAAGCTCATGCCATTGCACTCCAGCCTGGGCGACAGTGAGACTCTGTCTCAAAACAGAAAGAAAAAGAAAGAGGGAGAGGGAGAGAGAGGGAGAGGGAGAGAGAGAGAGAGAGAGAAGGAAATGAAGAGAGGAGGGAGGGAGGGAGGGAAAGAGGGGAGGGGAGGGGAGGGAACGGGAGAGGAGACAAAGGGAGACACAGGGCAGAAGTAATCAACCTTTCATGGTGAGCTGGGTCTTCCTGTGACAGTGCAGAGAACAGTCTGTCCTGGTCTAAATTTCCTAGTGACCTACACTTTTCTGGACAGAGCAGCACAGAGCCCAAGAGGGTGTAAGGAGGAACAGAAAGGAATCCCAGGGTGGACAGGCCCGCGTGAGAGCCTCTGGGGGAAGGATGGAGCCTTTGAGCCAGGAAGCGGGAAGCGAGGCAAAGCTACCTGTCTTGCTTATCGTCTTCAGGGAGGGAAGTGGAGGGGGACCGGGTGGGGAAGCCTCACAGGGGACTTTGACCTGACTTGTCAAATTTTATTTTATTTTTTTTTTTCCTTTTTGAGACAGAGTCTCACTCTGTCGCCCAGGCTGGAGTGTAGTGGTGCGATCTCGGCTCACTGCAACCTCCACCTCCCGGGTTCACGCCATCCTCCTGCCTCAGCCTCCCGAGTAGCTGGGACTACAGGCGCCCGCCACCTCGCCCGGCTAATTTTTTTGTACTTTTAGTAGAGATGGGCTTTCACTGTGTTAGCCAGGACAGTCTCGATCTCCTGACCTCGTGATCCGCCCACCTTGGCCTTCCAAAGTGCTGGGATTACAGGCGTGAGCCACCACGCCCGGCCATCAAGTTTTATTTTTTCACGTGCAAAATCCATTCATGTATTTTTTATTAAAAGTTAATTTATTTTATTTTGAGACAGAGTCTTGCTCTGTCGCCAGGCTGCAGCACAGTGGTGCGATCTTGGCTCACCGCAACCTCCGCCTCCCAGGTTGAACCGATTCTCCTGCCTCAGCCTCCCGAGTAGCTGGGACTACAAGCGCCTGCCATGCCTGGCTAATTTTTGTAGTTTTAGTAGAGATGAGGTTTCACCATGTTGGCCAGAATGGTCGTGATCTCCTGACCTCATGATCCGCCCGCCTCAGCCTCCCGAAGTGCTGGGATTACAGGTGTGAGCCACTGCACCTGACCTACTTTATTTTTTAGAGACAGGACTGTACTCCGTTACCCATGCTGGAGTGTAGGGCGCAGCTGTGCAGTTCACTGCAGCCTTGAACTTCTGGGCTTGACTGATCCTTCCACCTCAGTAGCTGGGACTGCAGGTGCACGCCAGCACACCAGCTTTTTTTTTTTCTTTTTTCAATCACAGCTCACTGCAAATTCCGCCTCCTGGGTTCAAGAGATTCTCCTGCCTCAGCCTCCTGAGTAACTGGGATTACAGGCACGTGCCACCATGCCCGGCTAATGTTTGTGTTTTTAGTAGAGACGGGTTTCGCCATGTTGGTCAGGCTAGTCTCAAGCCGCCGCGCCCGCCCAGCCTACACACCAGCTTTAAAAAAAAAAAAATGTCGTAGTGTTACCGAGGCCGGGCGCGGTGGCTCACGCCTGTAATCCCAGCACTTTGGGAGGCCAACGTGGGCGGATCACCAGGTCGGGAGTTCAAGACCAGCCTGATCAACATGGTGAAACCCCATCTCTGCTAAAAATACAAAAATTAGCCGGGCAAGGTGGCAGGCACCTGTAGTCCCAGCTACTCAGGAGGCTGAGACAGGAGAATCGCTTGAACCTGGGAGGCAGAAGTTGCAGTGAGCTGAGATTTCGCCACCACACTCCAGCCTGGGTGACAGAGTGAGACTCCATCTCAAATGTATATGTATATATAGTAGCGCTGTGTTGCCCAGGCTGGTCTTTTTTTTTTTTTTGAGATGGAGTCTCGCTCTGTCGTCCAGGCTGGAGTGCAGTGGCCAGATCTCAGCTCACTGCAAGCTCCGCCTCCCGGGTTTACACCATTCTCCTGCCTTAGCCTCCCGAGTAGCTGGGACTACAGGCGTCTGCCACCTCGCCCAGCTAGTTTTTTGTATTTTTTTAGTAGAGACGGGGTTTCACCATGTTAGCCAGGATGGTCTTGATCTCCTGCCCTCGTGATCCGCCCGTCTCGGCCTCCCAAAGTGCTGGGATTACAGACTCGAGCCACTGCGCCCGGCCGCCCAGGCTGGTCTTGAACTCCTGGCCTCAAGGGATCCTCCCACCTCAGCCTCCCAAAGTACTAGGATTATAGGTGTGAGCCACAGTACCTAGCCGATTAAAAATTAATTTTAAAAAAGAGAATGTGATGAGGGAGTTAGAGGGTGTGCCAGCCACGTGTTCCACAGCAGCAGGTCAGGAGACGTTGGGGACATTTAGAGGAGCTGAGGAGGTGGCCAGCCCTGTGCTCAGGAGGGCAGGGGAGGGAGAGAGCAAGAGGGAGTTTGGGCTGGGGCAGAACACAGCCGGGTCCTGAGAGAGGAGAGGAAGGCAGGGACGTGGCCCCTCCAGGCCTGACTCTGCCAGCAACCAGCTCCCTGTCAGCAGACTCCAGGCCCCTATCCTTCAGATCATCCTTCCTTATCATATATCCAAAACTCTGAATGTGGCCAGGCGCAGTGGCTCCCGCCTGTGATCCCAGAACTTTGAGAGGCTGAGGCAGGAGGATAGCTTGAGAACAGGAGTTTGAGACCAGCCTAGGCAACATGGTGAAACCGCATCTCTACTAAAAATACAAAAATTAGCCGGGTATGGTGGCACACGCCTGTGGTCCCAGCTACTCAGGAGGCTGAGGCACGAGAATCACTTGAGCCTGGAAGGCGGAAGTTGTAGTGAGCGGAGATCGCGCCACTGCGCTCCAGCCTGGGCAACACAGCGAGACTGTCTCAAAAAACAAAAACCGGAATGTGTTTACCATAAAGGTCAGAAAACGTGATTAACAGCTGCTCGAAGCCCCTGTCTGCCCTGAGCCCGTGGGAGTGAGGCCTACCCTGTGGTCTGGCTACAGGGAGGAAGGGCAGGCAGATTGGAGGGGGCAGGAGAGCAGGTCAGGAATTGGCCAACTCTGGAGAGAGCGACCAAGAGGAAGTCTGCACCCAGGGCAGGGCTGGCCAGGAGCGAGGTGGGACATTGGACCAGTATTTTCAGAGCTGGTGAGGCTTAAAGAGCATGTCTACGGCCTCTTATTGCAGAGGGAGGATGCCGAGGCCCCAGACCCATCCAGGCCACCTCTTCACAGACACAGCGGGTGCCAGGGAAGCTCCTGCCCAGAGCCTCGAGGCATTGCTCCCAATCTCTCTCTCTCTTTCTTTTTTCTTTTCTTTTTTTTCTTTCTTTAGACAGGGTCTCGCTCTGTCACCCAGGCTGGAGTGCAATGGCACAGTCTCGGCTCACTGCAACCTAT